TCAGACTAATGGCTAGTCTGAACGAATTATATAGATCTTGGTGGACATGTTGTGATTATATTACTACAGTGTTAGTATGATTATGGTTCACACCTATCCCTACTAGAGTTATGTGCAACCACGGTTACAATTTTTTTTCAATTTTGAGTTTGGCACTGTTTGAAATGTGGCATGGAAACTTTATGCACAATATTTGTTTGACAGAGGAGTATTATAAAAGGTATTTGATTGTTCGAGATTGCGATGTAGCTAAGTTGCACACTATTAATGGTATCACCGAGGGTAGTACGTGAGCGCAGTTGAGGCGCTAATTAGATGGTATTTGTGTATTTCCCAATGGGGGGCATGATGGTAATATTGCACCATCGAGAATTGTTTACGTACTTATCGAGACAACAGTGAGTTGTTGGTATTACAGGCTGCAGACCATAATATTGAGGACTTAATTGTTGAACTCGTTAAGCAAGTGGACATCTAGGTCCATATATGTTTAGTTGTTTATTTATTGTTGGGCCTAACCCAATGATATTATACACTTCCCTTTGGAGTACATGACGCAATGAGGGCAAGTGAAATTTTTCTATATTAAATCTTGATCTTGGTATAACTATTTTAAATTTTATGTTATATTATATATGTATTTGACGATATGTTATCGTATATCTATTTTTGGCTTGATGTTTTCATAAAGGATTTTTTTTATGTTGTAGTATTGTATTTTAGTGTTGTGTTAAAGGAGAAGGAAAGTTTGAGTTTGGGGCATGAAAGAGGAATCCCTGCACTCTGATCGCGACGGAATGACATTCTCTTTTATGCAACCGCTTTAACTTTATATCTTCTTTACGTAACTGTTTTTCTACTACTTTTTCACTACTCTTGATTAACAAGTGATTTCAAATTTCGGGGACGAAATTTTTTTAAGGTGGGTAGATTATGACAACCCGTCCATACCTTTACAATTTTATAAAATTTAAAATAGTGATTTTATGAAAAATGCCTCTAGAGGTAGAGATTTTGATTTTTGTTGACCATTGGTTACAGAGATGTAGGACTCATTCTTTTAGCATATCCTCATAGTATTCGTCACTACGAGCACATAGGCGGAAGCCGTTTGCGGGTCTGGATTATAACGGTATAGTTACCGACGTTTGAAATTGGTTACTTACATTTTAGATTATAAATCAATTGAACTCCCATCTTGTGGGAAAGAAGTCAAATTTAAGCAAGAAAATAAGGGACCAATTAATTAAAGTAAGGGAGGACCAATAAAAAAAATTAGAAGAAGAGGGAGTCAGCCAATTAGGAGAGGAGAATAGAAGCTCTCATCTTCCTTTCCCATAGCCCTTTAGACGTAGAAACCCGGTTTTGACCCGGGGTGGGTTCCGGCGGTCCTCTACCATTTTTCAGGGTATTCATTCACATCCAACACCTACAACTTCTTCCACCACTTTCCCTCTACCATTTCCACCCAAGATTGAGGGGGTTTAGGTCCAAGTGTAGAACTTCACCGAAGAACCCGAAGGTCCTCAACAGCGAATCGCCGATCCGGCAAGCTGCACCAGCCACCACCACCACCACCCTTAATCAACTCCCCTTGGACTCCGGAACAAGACCCAACCAGTGGTGTTAGAACACCGATTGATGAAATTCCGTCGCTTGAACCTAGTTCCATTAAGGTCCGCCACTTGAATATTATAGCAATCGACGATCCGACCGTTGGATCATCACTAAACTTTAATACGTTGTGGTATGTAATATTTGAGGACCATAGAAATTTACGGATTGGGAATTCGAGATACGGATCTTCCCTAATTGGATTTGTTAGTTCATAAAATAAAACGTTGACCGCCACTTGAATTTGAAATTGGCAAAGACGGTTGGATCGTAATGAAACTTTTGTATGATGTTCTAGAAGCATAATGTGGATCTTTAGAAGTCACGGATCGGAAATCCGAGGTGCGGATCTTCCAAATTGAGTTATGAAGGGTTATGGACCCTACCTCTGACCTTAGATAGACGGTTGACTTTTGGTCAATGGGTTTCAAATCATTCTAGAATGTCATTGAGGATGTGTTTTATGTAAGTTACTTGTTCTATCGATAATAATTTTGAGACGTGATTTGATAATTGCTCTAGGCGTCGATCGTTCGTGGCGCCTCGATATTCGTGCTAGGGAGTTGTAGTGCGGACCTCAGGTGAGTGGGTCTTTTCCTTTTTATAGTGTGTGTGTGTGTCTATATATATATATATATAAACTTTATAGTTTCCACAAATGCTTATGAACTAAGTTATTCAAATCATGCCATGATTAAATGGTTTATATTAAAATGTTGCATTGTTGGGAAAATTGTGAAGTGCCAAACGATCCTATGGGATGCGTAGGTAAGTTCAGGTGAGATTACTTTGTGATTGGGATTGTTGCATCATATTGGCATGCATATATTCATTTAGTGCTCATCATTGCTGCACCCCGGTGTTAATGCTCCCGGCCTGGGCTAGGGCACAGCCTTCACGTGATTGTTCACCTCCCGCATCGCACGCTCACCTTGGATCCAAGTTTGGTGCTAGCCTGTCATACAGACCACAATAGGTGGTTCTGACTCATAGGTGAGCCGCGATTTATCGCTAGCCATCACATGATCGTAGCACTAGAGAGTACATATTTACACCCAGCTTGTCGTTGATAGGAGCATATTTATGTGACTTTGTTATCTTATTTCTTTGCATTTTCTTCGTTAATTTCCATTTATTTTGGTAATTTATGTTATTTTCGTATTTTTGTAGGTCCAATTGGTAAAGATGACAATAAATGGCAAAATTGAGCAATTTGGAGCCGTTTTGGACTTGGATTGGACATCAGGCTTAGATAGCATATGGGTTGACGTTTTTGGTGTTTAAATGGTACTAGATATGTGCTAAAATCTGGTGAAATTAAAGTTGAGGCTTTAGATAAGGAATTACACAAGAGAGAGGAATCCTACTTGGAGAGGAACCTTATCTTATCCAACTTTATCTTATCCAATCTTACCTTATCTTATCTCTAGTTGGAAGAATGAATCCTTATCATATTTCAACACTTCCTATCTGATTCTAGGAGTCCTAAAATAATTCAAACTACCTAATCTTTTGCCTCCTGGGATTCAGATGTGCCTTTACCCTATAAATACATTATTGCCGCAAATTAGAGGGGAGATGAGTGTGTCGTAACCTGCAATCATCCATTGAAGTCGTCGGAGTTTTCTGGGTTCTTTCTCTCTTTGTTTTAAATTTCAATGTTTATTTTAGATTGCTTTTCAATTATGATGAATATGTGTAACTAAGTTTCTTTTTAGCTAAAGGTGAATTCGAAGCCATGATCATATTCCGGCCCAGGCCCTCACCACATCCCTGGCTCGACTTCGCCATAGCACGATATTGTCATCTTTGGACCCCAACCACGCCCTCACAGTTTTGTTTCTAGGAACTCACACGAGAACTTACCAGTGGGTCACCCATCATGGGATTGCTCTCGTGCAAACTCGCTTAACTTTAGAGTTCTGATGGAATATGAAGCCAGTGAGCTCCCAAAAGGCCTCGTGCTAGGTAGAGATAGAAATATACATATACGGCTTATAGGATCCATTCCCCTAGGCGATGTGGGATGTTACAATCCACCCCCTTTAGGGGCTCGCCGTCCTCGTCGGCACACTTCCGCCCAGGGATTGGCTCTGATACCAAATTGTCACATCTTGCCCTGGGCCCCCACCACATCCTGGGCTCGACTCCGCCATAGCACGATATTGTCTGTTTTGGGCCCCAACCACACCCTCACGGTTTTGTTTCTGGGAACTCACACGAGAACTTACCAGTTGGTCACCCATCATGGGATTGCTCTCGCACGAACTCGCTTAACTTTGGAGTTCCGATGGAATCCGAAGCCAGTGAGGTCCCAAAAGGCCTCGTGCTAGGTAGAGATAGGAATATATATATAAGGCTTACAGGATCCACTCCCCTAGACGATGTGAGATGTTACATATAAGGCTTACATAGATTTTGTGAGTGGATCCCTTCAAAACATAATTTTTGAAGACTATCTCAATAAATCATTTTAATTGAAAACATAGTTTTTGAAGGGATCCACTCACAAAATCTATGTAAGACTTATATGTATATTCTCATCTCTACCTAGCATGAAGCCTTTTGGGAGCTTACTGGCTTCGGGTTCCATATGAACTCCGAATTTAAGCGAGAAAGGGGCCAGAGCATTCCCAAGATGGGTGATCCATTAGGAAGTTATGCTCGCTTGAGTTCTCAAAACAAAACCATGAGGGCGTGGTCGGGGCCCAAAACGGACAATATTGTGCTACGGCGGAGCCAAGCTCGGGATGTGGTGGAGCCCGGGTCGGGGTGTGACAATTTCCATTTAGAACAGTTTCTGGGAAAATGTAGAGCACATATACGTGTGTGTGTGTGTGTGTGTATAAAACCAAAAGCCCACTCATGTTTTCTGTTTTTCGCCCCTCCAGGATTTAGCTATTGAAAGTTCGTATCGACGAGGATTCTTGGCGACTCTTAGTATAGATGGCTACCTCCGAGGGTATGATCCTTATCCACACTACTGTACTTTACTTATGCTCTAAAGTCGGGTGTGAAATGGGTTCATCCCCGCTCACAACGCACTCTTATCTTTAGATACTTTTAGGTTTAAATTTATTCACATTTTCCACATCATTATATTTTATGACTTCGTCACCTTCCAAGTGTTGGCCAACACAACTCGATTCGGAGTCCTAATGAATATTCTAGGTCGGGATGTGTCATCCAAAACCGAAACCGAACCAATAAGTTCGATTTGGTTCAATCTTTCCTTAATCGGTTTGATTTTGTTTTGATTTTTAGTTTTTCGATTTCGATTTGATATTCGATCCGAGTTTTTTTTTATTTTTGATTTTTTTAACCCACCCCTGCTTCATTGGAGATGATGCTACACATTTGAATTCCGAGCAACGGGTGTAAAATGTGCGTGTCAATTTCTCTTTCGACCCTCCTTTCCATTTCATTCAAACACCTTCGTTTATGATTGCGACACCGAATCAGAAGCCGACGCACCGATTCCTCGCTCCCTCTCTCTCTCTCTCTCTCTCTCCTGAACTGAAAATAAATTATAAAACGTAGAGAAGCTGAAAACTCCAGTGAGTTTAAACCCTAAACCGCCATTCATCATCCAAATTGTAGAAGGTAATCACATCAAAGCGATGGAGGAAGAAGATCCCGTAACATTCTTCATGTCCCTCGATCACTGGCAAGGCTCTCCGCCCTCCTCCGATGACTGTCCCGCACTTTCTTCCCAAGACCAAGGCTCGCAGTCTCTCTCTTCTTCCTCGGAAACCTTCATGCTCGGCTTCGTCATAGCCAACATCGTCGGAATTCAATACTACTCAGGCACCATCAGTGGCCGAGAAATGGTGGGTCTTGTCCGAGAACCCCTCAATCCCTACGATTCCAACGCCATCAAAGTCCTTAATACCCGAACGCTTCAGGTGGGTCACATCGAACGCTCCGTCGCCGCCGTCCTTGCCCCCTTGATCGACTCGAATTTGATTTCCGTCGAAGGCATTGTGCCCAATACGCGCTCTAAGGCCAACAGGTTCAAGATTCCTTGCCAAGTTCACATCTTTGCAAGGTTTGAAGCCTTTCCCTCTGCGAAATCTGCAATTATGCGATCTGGGTTGCAGCTGATTTGTGATGCTGATGCGTCTTTCACTCTATCCGAGGCACTGGTTGTCAAGGAGAAGAAGGATGAGAGGGGTTCCAAGAGTGTGGATGAGATTTTCAAGCTGGTGGAGGAGAGTGCGAACAAAAAGGGTGCTTTACAAGCATTGGAACCTCCGAAACAAGTGATCAAATCAGAGCTGTTTGTTCACCAGAAAGAAGGCTTGGGATGGTTGGTGCATAGAGAGAATTCTGGTGAATTGCCTCCCTTTTGGGAAGAGAAAGATGGCTCTTTTGTGAATGTCTTGACCAATTACCACACTGATAAGCGACCGGAGCCTCTAAGAGGTGGGATTTTGGCAGACGATATGGGGTTGGGTAAGACTTTAACTTTGCTTTCTTTGATTGCGTTTGATAAATATGGTAGTGTAGATGTAAGCGTACTAGATGATAACAAAATGGGTGATGATTCTTTGTCTGTTTCATATAGTAAGAAGGGTAAGAGGGGTGCCCCAAGTAAAAAAGGCACTGGGTCACGAAAAAAATCCAAAACTGAGGATACCAATGCCAGCAGCAACGTGGAAGGAAAATGTGTGAGTGTAGATGATAAGTCTTTGGGGTATTGTAGTACCAAGACAACGTTAATAGTGTGCCCACCTTCTGTATTTTCGACCTGGGTAACACAACTAGGAGAACACACTAGGCCGGGTAGATTGAAGGTGTATATGTACTATGGAGAGCGGACTAGCAATGCTGAGGAGCTTAAGGAGTATGATATAGTGTTGACTACATATAGTATTTTGTCTACTGAAAATTCTTGGACAGAATCCCCTGTTAAAGAGATTGAGTGGTGGAGGGTGATTTTGGATGAGGCACACATGATTAAGAATGTTAATGCTCAACAAAGTCAAGCTGTTACTAGTTTGAAGGCTAAGCGAAGGTGGACTGTTACTGGAACACCCATCCATAATGGCTCATTTGATTTGTTTTCTTTGATGGCATTCCTGAGATTTGAGCCTTTTTCAATTAAGAGCTACTGGCAAAGCTTGGTGCAGCGCCCACTTGCTCATGGCAACCAAAAGGGGCTCTTACGGCTGCAGGTAATTGCTACCATGCTATTTTCTTAATTGTTTTCTTTTTATAAACTATAAACAGAGTTTTGTGCAGGCAGTGGAAGTTTGCATTACATGCCATTCTCTCCTTGTGTTGGGACAATATTTGAACATAATAGATCATTATTATTATTTTCTTTTAACTTTAGAATCATCCTGACGTTATTGACGTTATTATGTTCTCTTTCCACATATGATTCAATGTCTGATTTGAAGTGTATCTGAAGTGTGCCTGGGTTTTGTTTTGAATGTCTTGACATTGTTTTTTATTTCACTTTTGTTTTTAATTTTTATTATAAGTTTGTGGTAAGATTGGGTTTCTCTCTAGACCCAAAAGGATGGCATCTAGATTGAAGTCAAGCTGAGTCACTTGAAATTGTTCTTTAGCAAATGAACTTTAGTATCTCATTAACTAATGTAACCAAACTTCATTAGGTCGCCCACCCGCATACCTTCACTTTGTTATTAGGATCTGGGATAGAAAATTTCTTCCCTTTGAAATAAGTATTAGATGATTAGAAAGATATGATTGATGACATGGTTGATCGATGATCTACTACGAGGACTTTGTTTTCTTTATATAGCTAATCAAAGACCTTAATAGTCATTTGATTTAATTTTCGTGCATACTTTTTGGTGCTTTATTTCATCTTTTGTATTTTTCCCTATTTTTTATTAGTTAACCTAAAAGTAAAACTAATTAGACAGAATCATGTTATATATTTTTATTCGGCTAAATAGCCAAAATGACCCTGAAATTTGCATAACTCATCACTTTGGTCCCTAACATTTCAAATCGATAAAAGTGGTCCCTGAGATTGTCCACCATCCATCATTTTGGTCCTTCCGTTAAAAACTCCGTTAAGTGTTGCGGAGCTCTTGGCCGGAAGTTTGGGCAATTTTCAAAGCTTCGTAACTCAATCGTTTCTTAACCAAATTCGACCCATAATATATCAAAATGAAAATAGGAAAGTGTAGAATAAGATTATGCCTATTTGGAAGTCCAATGGCTGCCGGAGATGGCCTGAAATTGGGTAAACTTTAAACTTTAAACTTCTTCAATACTCAACGAAATCAAGTGATTCAAAAACGAAAATCATACTTCTTGACGAGACGAAGAGAAGGGTACCTTTTCCGACGGCTAACTCACCGTGTTTTGGCCAGAAAACGGCTTGAAACCACTTTCGGCGAGTTAGCCGTAAAAAAATGTACCCTTCTCTTCGTCTCGTCGAGAAGTATGATTTTTCGTTTTTGAATCACTTGATTTCGTTGAGTATTGAAGAAGTTATGAACGTTTAAAGTTTACCCAGTTTCCGGCGAGTTTTCAAGTTTTCCCTCGGACCAGTCAACTTTGAGGCTATTTTCCGGCCATATCCGGCAACCATTGGTCTTCCAAATAGGTATAATCTTATTCTACACTTTCTTATCTTCATTTTGATATATTATGGGTCGAATTTGGTTAAGAAACGATTGAGTTACGAAGCTTTGAAAATTGTCCAAACTTCCGGCCAAGAGCTCCGGGACACTTAACGGAGTTTTTAACGGAATGACCAAAATGATGGACAGTGGACAATCTCAGGGACCAGTTTTATCGATTTGAAATGTTAGGGACCAAAGTAATGAGTTATGCAAATCTCAGGGGCTATTTAGCCTTTTTATTCCTTTTTTTTTTATTGTTTCAAAAAATCCAAGTTCCTAATATGTTGTGTGATAGTTCAGGTTCTAATGGAAACCATTTCTTTGCGAAGAACAAAAGACAAGGGGCTGATTGGATTACCTCCTAAAACCTTAGAGACTTGTTATGTGGAACTCTCTGGTGAAGAACGTGAACTGTATGATCAGATGGAAGGAGAAGCAAAGAGTGTCGTGAGGAGTTACATTGATGCTGAATGTTTAATGCGCAACTATTCCACTGTACTTAGCATCATCTTACGACTTCGGCAGATCTGCACTGATGTGGCATTGTGCCCTTCTGATCTCAAATCACTTCTCCATTCGAACAATATTGAAGGTATTTGAAAGGATGTTATATTTGTTTAGTGCAACTTCACTCACGTGCGTACCATCTTGGTTCATTGGAACCCTTTCACTGCTATATTTATTTACTGTTCTCTAAGTCATAATTTTTCTTTTCATCAGTAAACCTTATTTAAGTTTGTCAGAATTCTGTTCTACTTATTTACATTCTTGGATTCACATTCTGTTCAGTACTTGTATACTCGCTTCCCCAAACTGGTAGGCATGTATTCTTTTGGGATGTTTTTCATTATTCTTAATATGCTCTCTTCATTTGAGTTAAGGAAAAGATTACAATATTAAGAATTGTCATAGTGATGAGTTTTGAATGATATTATAGAAGAAGAAAGCTGCCTTTGAACTATGTTTGTGGAGTTGTAATCGTTGGACAGAGCACAGGCATCAGTTTTGTGGTAGTTTTCATGCATATTACTTTGGTGACAGTTTGGTCTTGCATTTACACGCAAACCACTAGTAATGGAACCATTTAAAGGTTTTATGGCATATAAATTCCTCATTTTTATAGTTTATTTCGGGAGGCAGACTCGCAGGTATATATTTATCATTTTTGTTATTGTTTTTCTGGAATAAGTGGCAAATTTTGGTAGCTAGGTTGTCTGTTTCTAGAGTATATTTGGCCAAACAATGAGTAAATATAATACAGTTAAAGGCACAGGTACAATATCATGAACGCCATTAACCAAGCATGAAAGAGGGCCTGAATTGTGTATAACATATGAAATATCTGTGTATTTCTGTAATGGTTTAAATTTTCGATGCAATGATTTAATCTATAAGCTTGTCAGGAAATGCCATTATGCCGCATATAATAGTTCTGTAATACTACTGTATGAGTTCCTAGGTACTTTTGGTTTACATTGGAATGAAATTATTCAAAAGTCTGGCGCTAGGTTGGGGAGCTTATATATTATTGGAAAGCCGATCTCAATGAATCTGTGTCCTTGGTTTTTTTAGTCTCCGTTTTTGTAATCCCTTAGTGAGGTATTAGGTTCATTGAGAATTTTAATCTTCGTGGTTCCAGACCTAATATTGCTTTTACCTGCGGCCCCGCACCATAATTTTGACAAGCCTTTTTTCTTTATTCCACGTCTCCAAGACCTAACCATGGTCCTCTAGTTGATTCATTGCTAACAATTATGTTTCGATTCATTCTTGATGCATACATGGAAACAGTAGTATGAAGGGAATCTTCGTGGATCACATTAATCATTGCAGTGGAGTGGCTACTGACGTTCACGTCCTTCTCTATTCTTAGGATTATGCTTCTGCCATACCCTTTGGAAATTTAGATTTATTCTTAAAATTCATTAGTACTTTGTGCTGCTGCTGCTCAGTGTCATACGATTTAGTGAATGTTTAATGTGATGAATGACGCTCACATGTGCATATGGCACCATATATTTGTTTCCTATTAGATATAGCTTTCAAATATAAGTATGTATGACGAGTTCAAAAAGAAACTCAATATTCATATGTTCAGCTACTTATGAAGTACCTCGGCAATACGCACGTTGATAGCAAGTAACATAATTCTTTTAGTACAACATTCCGAGTTATGTCATATGGCTGTTTCAAATCATTATGTCATTCTGTACTTATAAGTTGATTCTACGCAGATGTGTCCAAGAACCCAGAGCTGCTGAAAAAGATTGTTGAGGTGCTGCAAGATGGTGAAGATTTTGACTGTCCTATTTGCATTTCTCCACCAACGGATACTGTTATTACTTGTTGTGCTCACATTTTTTGCCAAGCTTGTATTCTGAAAACCCTTCAGCGCACAAAACCCTGCTGTCCCCTTTGTCGCCGTGCTTTATCACATTCTGATCTGTTCTCAGCCCCTCAAACAACTTCTGACAGTGACAACACAGTATCATCGAAAACAACCATGTCTTCAAAAGTAAATGCTCTCTTAAAACTTCTTGTTGCATCGAGGGAGCAAAACCCACTTACGAAATCAGTAGTGTTTTCCCAGTTCCGAAAGATGCTGATATATCTTGAAGAGCCACTGAAATCAGCTGGTTTTAAGACTTTGCGCTTAGATGGGTCTATGAATGCAAAGAAAAGGGCACAAGTAATCAAAGAATTTGGGGTGACGGGACAAGATGTGCCCACAATTTTGCTTGCAAGTCTCAAGGCTTCAGGAACAGGTATAAACCTTACAGCTGCAAATAGAGTGTATTTGTTGGAGCCATGGTGGAACCCAGCAGTTGAGGAACAGGCAATGGATCGTGTTCACCGGATCGGGCAAAAGGAAGATGTGAAGATTGTGAGGTTGATTGCTCGAAACAGCATTGAAGAGAGGATATTAGAGTTGCAAGACAAAAAGAAGAAACTTGCAAAGGAAGCTTTCCAGAGGAAGGCTGCAAAGGATCGGAGGGACGTAGGGGCTGAGGATCTTCTTGGCCTCATGGGCTTGTGAGTTGGTGCAAGTATGCAGGCAAGGCATGGAACATTTTCGCGTTGCTCATGTTTTTGCAGTTGTCGTTGCACATGAAGTAGACATTTTTGTTACATCAAATGGAGCAGATGACCACCATGCTCTCCTTTAATGACGCTAGTGCCTTTCGTTATGCACTCAATGTGAGCGAACCCGAAAACAGGCTTTGCGCTTTTGTTATGCACTCAATGTGAGCCAACCCAAAAAGGGGCTTTACGCTTGCTTGATGAAGCATGAAACTCCATTAATAAGGGTACAAATGAAGTACCAGCACTAACCTAAACACCTAAAGAAAAACGAGTGTAGATGATATGAAGACTGAAACAAGGTTCTGGAAAAGCCAACAAAAAACAAACTAGCAGCGAGAGGGTGACCATCTATAGAGGACAGAAAGCCAGTCCAGTAGAACAACCACCGTGTAGGTAGGTTTGCGTTGGCAACAGTGGCGGCCCTGTCGCTTCACTTCCAAAAAATCGAGATGGCTGCTTCTATGGACACAGCAGAGAAACCCATCTCTTTTCCATCCTCATCGACTCCATTTACCGTTCCATTGACGAACCCACAGTCAATAAATCCGTACCTGTTCGACAAATTTCCATGGCAGATTTCATAATGAAAAATTCGAGAAATAGTCACCAGAACCGAGTTCCTGATGAATTTAAGTTCTAGCTCTTCGGATTCGAGTGGTGGGTTTTCTTCGTCGAAGTTGGATATTATGTACTGATCAAAATCGAGGTCCTCATCGTCATGCTACAACATGCACAGGCTATAAAGGTCCACCACCGCACCCCCGTGAGAAGAAAGAGGTTGCGGGTTCGGCCAGAAAACCCATGATCTAGATCTGAAATGCAACCATGAACTTGTCTGGGCCAATTGCAGTTCAGTCGCGTGGGGAGTCACTGGTCTCGCTGGAGTTCGAGTTGATGGAGTTGGGATGGTGGGTTCGGACCCTGCGACTACGATGTGAATTGGGGAATAAGGTTAGCGGAGTTGTGAATCGTGATGGTGGATCGGCGGATCTCAATTTGGAGGCGAGGGGGTAGGGGAAGTTAGGGTTACTTAGGTTTTCAGTTTTTTTAATTCTTTGTTAAAATGTTCATTAACTAATGTAATTATATTTTAAGGCAAAAAATTGTTTACTACTCTCATGTTTTGTGGTTTTCAACATTTAGTACATCAAGTTTTTTTCGTCTCAGAGTCGTATCTAAAGTATAAATTTTGGGACAATCTCATACATCTGTTAATCAAACTGTTAAGTCTCCCATTAACTGTGACGTGGTGCCCATGTGGACAATGACTGGGTGTCACGTATCATCCACGTGGAAATTAAAAAAAAAAAAATATATATATATATTTATTTTAAAAAAAAAAAAAAAACCTTCACCTTCCCCAAATCCCACCCGTGCCCACCCTCCCATCACCCACCTCTTCGTCTTCAACAAATCCCACCCTCCCATCACCATCTTCAACTCCACGCTCAAGAAGAAGAAGAAGAACGAAGAACAAAAAAAAAACCCAGAAGAAGAAGAAGAAGGAAAAAAAAACCCGGAAGAAAAAGAAGAAGAAGAAGGAGGAACAAGAAAAAAAGGAACCTAGTTCGTCCCCCTAAGGAAGAAGAAGGAGGAGGAGGAGAAGGAGGAAGAAGAAAAAAGAAAACCGAATCCATTTCGTCCCACCCCCCCCCCACCCCAAAAAAACCCAACCCCTTGCAACCCAGAAGAAGAAGAAGAAGAAAAAAAAAAAAAAAAACCGAACACAGTTCGTCCACCCCCCAAAACCCAGAAGAAGGAGGAGGAGGAAGAAAAAAAAAAAAAAAAAAAACCGAATCCAGTTTGTCCACCCCCCTAAAATCCAACCCCCTGCAACCCAGAAGAAGAAGAAGAAGGAGGAGGAGGAGGAGGAGGAAGAAAAAAAAAAAAACCCAACCCCCTGGAACCTAGAAGAAGAAGAAGAAGAAGAAGAAGGAGGAGGAAAAAAAAAAAAAAAAGGGAACCCAGTTTGTCCCCCCGAGGAAGAAGAAGGAAAAAAAATTTCAAAAAATTTTGGCGGGAAACAAATTGTAAGTACATGGTTGTGGGAAAAAAAAAATTTGGGCGGGAACATTATTTTTTTCACTGAAATCCCTTCTCTAAAAAAAATCCACATAGACCCACGTGACACTCAGTCATTGTCCACATGGGCGCCACGTCACAGTTAACAGGAGACTTAACAGTTTGACTAACGGATGTATGAGACTGTTGTTAGAAATATGCCCTGAAAGTCAATATTTGGAAGAAACCTTTCAGGACAAATGAATCGATGTATGGATGACTCTTATACATCAAATGGCAAAGACACGAATTAGGACTATCTCAATAAACGATATATGTCCTAAATAGTGTATCCATGGACAATGGATCGATTGAAGAAGTAATCTAATGATGTTAGACTACAGAGACCTTCTTCACATAACCATTATGTCCAAAAGGTTCCTAGTCATTGGATTGTCGGAGGGAAACTGACAATGCTTAGACCGGTATATACTGTGTCTGCTTCAAATGGAACGATGGAAAGTCTCATCCCATTCGTGTTGTGACACTAAGACAAGTATGTAGGTGCTCATTAAGGGAATGAGTTCACTGAACACAATCGAACGAGAGTACTTGCATGGAGGTCTACTCACATGTCAAGCAAGTAACTCTAATGGTTGGAATAATGTAAGTAGTCCTTTGACCTGAGGCATCGTCGTTGTCTTGTGGCTAAGTACTTAATCTTTGATTATGTTAAAGTCTCCCCATCTGCGGATGTCCACGGCATAATTGGGGTTAAGCCACTTAGTCATGAAGGCAAGTGAATGCGCAACAAGGAATCTAATCCTCGATTAGATAGGAAGAATACTCTAAGATATGATTCGGGAATCTTCGGCCGAAGTATCGAGCGTAATAAAGGAAAGCGTTCCTATACGACTCAAATGAATCATATAAGAAGGAATAATCACATTAGGGGTTTGACATAATATATCCATACCCTAGTAATGTGATTGAGAGTATTGTTTTAGAGAAGGATCGAATTACATTGTAATTCCAACTGAATAGGTTCTCCAAACAACTTCTACATTAGCTTGGGTAGCTATGACATATGGTTAGATGTCACTCATAGCTTGTGAGTTCTTCTAGATGATTAAATGTAGTCATCAAAGAAGAAAGGTGAATTAAAATGAAGTTTTAATTCACTAAGTGATTGGATTAAATATAATCAATTGGATTGATGTCAATCACCTCACTGCCTTGCTAATTAGAACCTAAAATGATTGTACACCGATACACTCTTGTAGTGAGTAATTAATGGATGATGGAAATAATTAATTGGATTAATTAAGTGTTGTGATTAATTTAGAAAGTCTAAAGAAATCATAAAAGCGATAAAAGATCGTTTTGGGCTTAAAGAAACGTTCGGGTTTTAATTGGGCCCATTGGGCCTAAACCCATTGGGCTTTTATTCAAGCATTGGATGACTAGAAATATAATAAAGCCCAAAGCCCAAACCAACACAAAAGGGGGCCGGCCACTTTGCAAGTGGAGAGGGAGAGATATTTAGTCAAGTTGTTGACTAGGTTTCTTTTTGTCTATATAAGGAACTTTATAGAGTTTTAATCCTTAGGGTTTTTGTGTGTTTTTTAAACAACAAAGAGGCAAAAGAAAATAACTCTCTAAAACCACAAAGGCCGGCCACCTAGAGGGTGAATTTAGCTAACAATCTTTCACTCCTTTTGGTTATTCCTCCATCCATCTCACTACACTAGTGGGTGTGGATCTTTAGAGGTCTTCTCCTTTGGAGACTAAAGGGAGAACCTTGGAGCACTCTTACTAACAAAGTGGAGGAGGCAAGGAGGGAGGCTAGGCTCAAGGACTTCAAGGAACAAAGGGCTTGGAGGTGGTCCATCCTTGGTCTCAAGTCTAGATCAAGAGGTATAAGACTAAACCTACACCTTGTTCTTTACTAAAATGTTTTGATGCATTATATATAAACCTATGAACCTTGAAGGGGATTTGCATGACTATAGCTTTGATATTATTTGATAAATTGCTTCCGTTGCTCATGTATATAAATTTTGAATTGTATATGCATGCTAGTCATTTAGAAATCCCATGTGCTAAACTCATGATTTTCCCTTCAAGTGGTATCAGAGCCAAAAGTTTATGTATAATGTGTCCTTTTGGATTTTATGCATATGGGTATTAATAATATGTATGACATAATTATTGCTTCATTCAAATTATGTTTATCTTTTGTTTTTCAATAGTTGAAAATGTTAGTCAATAGTTAGAAAGATATGTATGCAAAAAAAAAAAAAAAAAAAATGTTTTGTATGCATGAATGAAAATTGAGTTTTGAACTAATTTGACATATTATTTCTTCATTTAAAGTATGTTTATCTTTTTTTTTTCAA